TACATCAACGAGCTTACATAAGGCGTGTTTGCTACAACTGCAGCGATTTCGTTCGTACGCGATGCACGTTTAGATAAAAATTCATACTCTGTCATTATAAAAGTAAGAGCATTTTATCTTTCGTAGGGAAACAAGACATTATTTCGATTCGAGAACGTGGATGTGAATATCTGGAAAGAAAAATCACGGGCCTCGTATTGTTTGTTTCCAAGCTACGTTTTATTTCAAATTCATCAACTCCAACATAATAATATGAGAAATTTTTAAGTTTCGCTCAGTGTGCATAATCGTGGTCGGCCAAGTGGATCAGACACTTGTAGAATTCGAGTGCCACGAAACATTCGTCTGTTATATCCTTCACTGGAACAATAGAGAGATTTATTTGAAAATAAAGGGATATTAAAGGAAATGAAGAAATATCTCACGAGTAAGAAAATATTTGGAAAGAAGGTAAAAAAATATTTGAAGTAAGAGAACTTTGAATACTTGAGACAAACATATTTAAAAAGCCAAGGAATATTTGGGATTTCTTCTAATCGCTGATTTTTCTTTTCGCTGCATCTTCGAAGAGGAAAAAGATGTTAGAAAATATAGTAACTCGTATACCTCTATTCTCACATTCCTTTGCAATTCTTTTGTAGTGAGTCTCCGTCTTTATTGGCATTTTCTTTCTTTTGATTATATCTTCTACCTTGTCCACCTGGATTTTCGAGCCAGACACCTGGAAAAACACAAGAAGGAAATACTAGGAACAATAAGAGAGAGAAATATTAGGAAATAATGATTCGTGATAGGTTTACTCGTGTATTTAAAGAAGACATTAAAGTAGTTTGTTACTAAGACATTACTAAAAATATATAGTTACTTCTTTGATCGAGAACTTATAAACACTTTGATGGGATTATTCTAATCAATTAACTCGTTTACAAATCTATCGTCTTCTCTTAAATTCACTCACTTTTTAAATATTAATTTAACCTCGTTGCTAATGCTAATTATTAATTTAACAAATATTTATAGTTCTACTTGATTTCAATAAAATAATTTCACTCACCATTCCTTGTTTTTGCGCACAACAAGTGAAAGCGCAAACGACTCTTCTAATGTTGTCTATGTCTTTACTATTAATAAGCGTACTGTATGCTTGCACCATAGCTTCGGATACTTTTCCAAGATCATCTAAAAGCAAACAAAAACTCTCTATATTAAACTCCCTTTGAGCTCGATTTGTCGTTGTGCATTCACTTGTATTTATTTTTAAGAAAAAAATCAGATGAACCATCAGTGTTTCTTTATTATCATATAATTTATTTTTTGTAATTTTTTGAAACGTGATAATGTTTATAATAATTTCCAAAACTTGTAGCAAATTCGTATTGTGTAACGTACGAGTTCAAAGGGGTTAAATCTCATTGTTTCCTCTTTGGTAAGAAACAAAGTGAATAACGTTCCTTACCGGGTATTACTTTCGCATCGCGGAAGCATATTTCGGCTACTTTATAATCGATCGAGAAAAACTCGGCTGTATCTGTTATTGCTTCTTGCATTATGTTGTTTGATTCAGCAGATGCCTGGAATTAAACGAGCGAACAATTCGTTTAAACATTTGAGAGCATTTCGACATACGCTTGTAATTCGCTAATTCTAGAAATTTCCACATTTGAGTTATAAAATGCATCGAATTGAAAATCTTATTAGACTAATTACAACAAATAATTGATTTACTGCCACTGTGGACTTTTACGCGTATTCGTATTTTTGAGAATACAATTGCAAAAAGGTTAGAACGTTACTAAAAAATTACGTTAAACGTTGTAGAAAGCACTGTGAATATTTTTGAATATTTTCTCCGCAATTTTCCAATTTAAAGTTTCCTATAAATACGTAAAAATCCACAATTTATTTATCACCAGAGCAGTCGGTTTCATAAAATATGGTTTTTGTCGTAATTGTAGAAAAATTATATTGAGATTACAAAGAATATTTATCTTCGTTTCATATGTTAGATTGTGAGATTTTTCTAGGTATGTAATAGAATTAATAAAATTTAATATAATACAATTATACTTAATATTATATAATTGTATATACTAATTAACGTTCGTCAGCAATTGCAAAATGCGTTGTAATTGTGAAAGATTATCAATGTTTGATATTTCACGTAATTTTATGACCATTGGCTTTTAAATGATTGACATTTTATGATCATTAGCTTTCAAATGATTGAAATAACAACGAGATTGTAAAATATTTCTTGGATCCGCAAGAGAATCTAATAAAATTTAGCAACAACGATTGTAATAATACTTATGTAATAGTAAGTATTGTCAAAGAGTAAGTAACAAAATATTAATATGACACCAAAAGTAAAGGATAAAGTAAATTAAATAATAAAATTAAATTCTTCCTTCATCTATCTCTCATTGATAAATTACAACTTAAATTTTGCAATTTTAATTCAATTGCAACAATAAAAAATGTTGCTTTTTTTTACGAACGAGGGCAAAATTCACATCGAGCTATCACTGACAATGTCATTTGATTCGATGCGTTTGTCACGACTTCGCGTGATTTCATTCAAAACTATGATATTCTTGAGTTTGTTATCTTTTTCTTTTCTACTTTTACTCACCAACGCCACAAAGACAGACAGTATCAACAGCAAATGTTTCATGGCTTCGAGTCTCACAGATCTGTCAACTTAAAATACGTAGATTGATTCAATCTTTTTGAGAAAATGTACAAATTTACTGTCAACGATCGTTGGCTCCGCTTCATTTATATCGATCCGAATCGCTATTAGAGGTTAAAGGTCGCGTTATACGCTGACGTTAATGTGAGACTTTTACATGAGACGGCTATGTGACAATAAATAATTATTTCAGAATATTATTGGAAATCGACGTTTGTTTTGTCTAAAATTTCATTCACACTGCTATCTGTCATCGTTGTTTTGTTTTTTGCATCGCGAGTTAAGTTTTCCTCGAATCGTCTACATTTTTGCGCATTTCGAGCAACACTATTGATTCTAAACACGTTTGAATGATGCCGAGGAATGGAGATAAGTGAAAGCAGATGTCAATTTTTCTAAGATCCACTCCAAGTGAATTTCATTTTGAAACGATCGTTCTGTAATAACGATCGTCGCATTATCTGTGATTATCTTAAAAAAGTGACTACTCTTCTAGTTTTCAATTATTAACGAGTAATAACGACTGTTCGATCGCGTTTGCAAAATAACAATTGCTTCGTTTACTCAGTTTGTTTAAAATAAAAAGAACATGCTAAAGCAATATTTCATCAATTTCGCTTCATTGTTAGATAATCGTTAGATAATGTAGCATTGTGATAAATTTGCAAACAGCAACTTTTTCATTGTTCATTTAATATCGAGTGATAATAAAACGTTGAATTATCGTTTGTTTAACTTTATTGATGCCTAAAACGTAAATTTTGTTTTATAATTGTTATGTTAGTAAATGGTAGCATAAATATGATTTTCCTTCAAGGATTATCAAATTATTTATTACTTAACTGAGAAAGTATTACCAATTCCAAAGAAAAAGTGAAACGTAAATATATTCACGTTCTCTGAAAGTAATTTCTTTTGAAGGATTATTTAATTATTTGTGTAAATAATTATGTGACTCCCTATTTCGTCCTGATTACACTTTGTGTCGCTACACTGTTGCATCACTGCATTTGTTTTGTGAAACAGGATGCAAAGACGTATCCACGCTTGCATTGATCGTCCTGTTTTTTCGCTAAAACAATTAAAAAAATGTCTATGAAAATATCTTATTTATAGGTATTTGAAAATATGAATCCTCTTGCATAATGATGTAATAATTAATGATATTAATATGGATTTTATACAGGGTTTTTTCACGCGTTCGTAGGAAATTTAAAATTGCAAATGTTGCTTAGAACGTATAGGCATTCTAAAATATCGAAAGTATAATAAAGTATGTAATTGTAGCAATGTACGATTTTTAATCTCTGAAAGGAAAATATTATCGCAACAAGTTATTTATAAATAATTGCAGAAGATATCTTATTTCACGCGTTAAATACTGCTGATTAAGACTGTTAGAAATGCGTAAATATTTTGTGACTATTTATTTCCAAGAATACAATGTTTTTGACAATATTTCACAATGTCTCTATTTTCATCTTTTTCTGTTCTATCACATAAAAAAATGCAGTTAATATTAAAATGCATAATGTGCCCACGCTATGAACTTTCCAAACAACTCAGTATAACATTTCCAGTTTCAGTTTTTATATCTCAAATTTTATAATTGGGTCTCATTCTCAGTCTCAAATGAAATTTCAAAAACTTTGTCTAAAATGTATTATTTTTCTAATACAATATATATTATCATATGATTAAGTTTTCTATGACAAATGTTGAAGTATTTCGCGACTGAACATTTGCCTGTAGAATTTTTCGCCAAAATTACTCACCCAGATCGAAGCATTCGTTTAATATTTGTTTCGTAGCATCATCCACGGGGAAGTCGTTGCGGTCCGCTGTTTCTATTAAAATGTCCAGCAGAATGTCATTGTTTTCCATCTACAAAGGTCACAATGAGTAAAATTCTTTTTTTCGTTTTTTTTTTTTTTTTGAAAATCAGTGGATAAAAAATTGAAGAATGAAAAGACAATGAGTGCTTACAAGCTCAGCTTTGTCCAGAATGCATACAATGAAGCAACCGAGGTTCAACTGAAACTCGTCGAGGCTTTCTTCTGATACGTTCCCATTACGAAAAGCAGTGTCTAACTTCATCATGTCCTCTGTAATCGTTTTAAAATAGAAATGAACGAAAGAAGCGAAAACCACGAAGGAAGAAAAAAAAATCGAGGATTTTCTCAATGAATTTCTTTTGTCTGAATTATGTAGAGTAAATTTCTTTACTTCTAAACAGATAGTTATTATTATTTTAGATTTACGTACTGTCGGTTAAGTTGCTTTGGTGTACACATTGTCGTATATTCTTTATATTAATGTTTATCATCCTTGCGAATTCTATTATAGTGCTTGCGCGAACAGGTGCCTGTAATAGGTAATAAATCATTTCAGTCTTAGCAATCGATTATTTTTTGAACAATCGACTGTAGAAAAGCATATCGAGTGTTATAACGATTTCAATTTTTTTTGGCATTTTAAAGTTGCATAGTAGAAAATTTATGATGTTGATACTCGATATTTGTATATTT